CCTCCTAGGTTCAAATGACTTCCCTGCCTCAGCCTCCCGAGTAGCTGGGATTATAAGCATGCACCACCAGGACTGGTTAATTTTTTTTATTTTTAGTACAGAAGGGGTTTCACCATGTTGACCAGGCTGGTCTCGAACTCCTGAACTCAACTGATCTACCTGCCTCAGCCTCCCAAAGTGCTGGGATTACAGGCATCAGTGACTGTGCCTGGCCAAATAATCCAACTTTCAATGGGTAAAGAAAGGATCAGCTGGGTGCAGTGGCTCATGCCTGTAATCCCAGCATTCTGGGAGGCCAAGGTGGGCGGATCACCTGAAGTCAGGAGTTTGAGACCAGCCTGACCAACATGGAGAAACCCTGTCTCTACTAAAAATACAAAATTAGCCAGGCATGGTGACACATGACTGTAATACCAGCTACTTGGAGCCTGAGGCAGGGGAATCACTTGAATGCAGGAGGTGGAAGTTGTGGCCACCCAACATCACGCCACTGAACTCCAGCCTGGGCAACAAGAGCGAAATGCTATCTCCAGAGAAAACTAAATTGAAAAAAAAGAAAGGCGGCCATGTGCGGTGGCTCAAAACTGTAATCCCAGCACTTTGGGAGGCCGAGGCGGGTGGATCATGAGGTCGAGAGATGGAGATCATCCTGGTCAACATGGTGAAACTCCGTCTCTACTAAAAATACAAAAAACTAGCTGGGCGTGGTGGCGTGTGCCTGTAATCCCAGCTACTTAGGAGGCTGAGGCAGGAGAATTGCCTGAGCCCAGGAGGGGAGGTTGCGGTGAGCCGAGATCGCGCCATTGCACTCCAGCCTGGGTAACAAGAGCGAAACTCCATCTCAAAAAAAAAAAAAAGAAAGAAAAAAAAGAAAGGCTCAGCCAGGCCTGGTGGCTTGCACCTATTATCCCAGTACTTTGGGAGGCTGAGGCAGGCAGATCACTTGAGGTCAGGAGTTCAAGACCAGCCTGGCCAACATGGTGAAATCCCATCTCTACTAAAAATACAAAAGATAGCCAGGCGTGGTGGTGCACACCTGTAATCCCAGCTACTCAGAGGCAGAGGCAGGAGAATCACTTGAACCAAGAGGTGGAGGTTGCAGAGACCTGAGATCAAGCCACTGCACTCCAGCCTGGGTGACAGAGAGAGACTGTGACTCAAACAACAACAACAAAAGGATCCTAAAAGCAACAGGAGGAGAAAAAAAAAAAAATTATATATATATATATATATATATATATATACACATATATATATATAACATACAACAGAGCTATAACACAACTGGCAGCAGACTTTTCAGTGAAACCTTACAGGCCCAGGAAAGAATGGCATGACATACCTATAGTGCTACAGGAAAAACACTTTTACCCCAGAATAGTATATGCAGTGAAATATCCTTCAAAAATGAAGGAGAAATAAAGATTTTCCCAGACAAACAAAAGCTGAGAGTTTTAATCAACACCAGACCTATCCTACAAGAAATGCTAAGGAAGGCCAGTGCAGTGGCTCACACCTGTAATCCCAGCACTTTGGGAGGCTGCGGCAGGTGGATCACTTGAAGTCAGGAGTTTAAGACCAGCCTGGCCAACATGGTGAAACACTGTCTCTACTAAAAATACAAAAAAAAATTAGCCAGATGTGGCAGTGGGTGCCTGTAATCCCAGCTACTCGGGAGGCTGAGGCAGGAAAATCATTTGAGCCCAGGAGGCAGGAGTTTCAGTAAGCCCAGATCACACCATTGCCTCCTAAAGTGCTGGGATTATAGGCGTGAGCCACCACAGCTAGCCATCCTTTTCTTTGTGATTGAAGTACTCCTTACCATTTTTTCTTCTTAAAAAAAAGAAAAAAAGCACAGAGTGGCTGAATGGATAAAAAAAAACAAGGCCCAATGATTTGTTGTCTACAAGAAACATGCTACACCTATATAGACACCAGAGACTGAAAAAAGAGGAAAAGAAAAAGATATTCTATGCCAAAGTAACCAAAAAAGAGCAGGAGTCACTATACTTATATCAGACAAAATAAATTTCTCTCTTTTTTTTTTTTTTTTTTTTTTTTGAGATGGAGTCTCACTCTGTCACCCAGGCTGGAATGCAGTGGTGCAGTCTTGGCTCACCACAATCTCCACTTCTCGAGTTCCAGTGATTTTCCTGCCTCATCCTCCCAAGTAGCTGAGATTACAGGCACCGACCACTACACTCAGCTAATTTTTTGTATTTTTAGACAGCTGGGTTTTCACTATGTTGGCCAGGCTGGTCTTGAACTCCTGACCTCATGATTTGCCCACCTCAGCCTCCCAAAGCACTGGGATTACAGGTGTGAGCGACCACACCCAGCCCAGACAAAATATATTTCAAGACAAAAATGATAAGAGACAGAGAAGATCACTATATAATGATAAAGAGGTCAACTGAAGAAGAAGATGTAACAGTTGAAAATATATAGACACCAAAACTGAAGCACCCTAATATGTAAAGCAAATATTATGAGAGCTAAAGAAAGAGACAGACACCAATACAATACTAGCTAACGACTTCAACATTCCACTTTCCCCAATCAATTTTCTGTTGGTTTTCATCCCAACAGAAAATCAGCAAAGAGATATCAGACTTAATCTGCACTACTGGCCGGGCGCAGTGGCTCAAGCCTGTAATCCCAGCACTTTGGGAGACCGAGGTGGATGGATCACGAGGTCAAGAGATCGAGACCATCCTGGTCAACAAGGTGAAACCCCGTCTCTACTAAAAATACAAAAAATTAGCTGGGCATGGTGGCGCGTGCCTGTGATCCCAGCTACTCAGGAGGCTGAGGCAGGAGAATTGCCTGAACCCGGGAGGCGGAAGTTGCAGTGAGCCGAGATCGCGCCATTGCACTCCAGCCTGGGTAACGAGCGAAATTCTGCCTCAAAAAAAAAAAAAAAAAAAAAAATCTGCACTACTGACCAAATGTATCTAATAGATATTTATAGAACATTTCATCCAACGGCTGTCTTAAAACATCCAAAAAATCTGAAATAATATGTATCTTCTCTGATCACAATGGAATAAAATGAGAGATCAATAGCAAGAAGAATTTTAGAAACAAATAATCGGAAATTAAACAGCACGCTCCTGGGCCAGGCATGGTGGTTCATGCCAGTAATCCCAGCACTTTGGGAGACCCAGGAGGGTGACTCACAAGGTCAAGAGATCAAGATCATCCTGGCCAACATGTTAACACTCTGTCGCTACTAAAAATACAAAATAATTAGCTGGGCGTGATGGTGCATGCACCTGTAGTCCTGGGTACTTGGGAGGCTGGGGCAGGAGAATCACTTGAATCTGGGAGGCAGAGGTTGCAGTGAGCCAAGATCACACCATTGCACTCCAGTCTGGGATACAGAGTGAAACTCCGTCTCAAAAAAAAAAAAAAAAAAAAAAAAAAATGCTCCTGAATGACCAGTGGGTGCATAAAGAGATTAAGAAGGATATTGGAATTTTTCTTGAATCAGATAATAATGGAAACACAATACCCCAAAATTTATGGGATACAACAAAAGTGGCTACAAGTGCCCATATCAAAAAAGAAGAGGCCAAGTGCCGTGGCTCACGCCTGTAATCCCAGCACTTTGGGAGTGTGAGGCAGACAGATCACAAGGTCAGGGTTTAGAGACCAGCCTGACCAACATGGTGAAACCCCATCTCTACTAAAAATACAAAAATTAGCCTGGCATGGTGGTGCACTCCTGCAATCCCAGCTACTCGGGAGGCTGAGGCAGGAGAATCACTTGAATCTGGGAGGCGGACGCTGCAGTGAGCCAAGATCGAGCTAGTGAACTCTCTCCTGGATGACAGAGCAAGACTCCAACTCAAAAAAAAAAAAGGAAGAAAAACGTCAACTAAACAACCTAAATATGCATCTTTTTTTTTTTTTTTTTTTTTGAGATGGAGTTTCGCTCTTGCTACCCAGGCTGGAGTGCAATGGCGCGATCTCGGCTCACCGCAACCTCCGCCTCCTGGGCTCAGGCAATTCTCCTGCCTCAGCCTCCTGAGTAGCTGGGACTACAGGCACGCGCCACCACGCCCAGCTAGTTTTTTTGTATTTTTAGTAGAGACGGGGTTTCACCAAGTTGACCAGGATGGTCTCGATCTCTCGAGCTCATGATCCACCCGCCTCAGCCTCCCAAAGTGCTGGGATTACAGGCTTGAGCCACCGCGCCCGGCCAAATATGCATCTTAAAGAATTAGAAAAGCAAGAGTAAACCAAATCCAAAATCGGGATACTAAATAATAAAAATCAGAGCAGAAATAAATAAAATTGAAATTAAGAAAACCATACAAGGCCAGCCAGGCATGGTGGCTCACACCTGTAACCTCAACACTGTGGGAGGCTGAGGCGGCAGGTGGATCACAAGGCCAGGAGTTCAAGACCAGCCTGACCACCATGGTAAAACCCCGTCTCTACTAAAAATACAAAAATTAGCTGGCATGTTGGCACGGGCCTGTAATCCCAGCTACACAGGAGGCTGAGGCAGGAGAATCTCTTGAACCCAGGAGGCAAAGGTTGCAGTGAGCCAAGATCACGCCACTGTATTCCAGCCTGGGTGACAGAGCAAGACTCCATCTCAAAAAAAAGAAAACCACACAAAAGATCAATGAAACGAAAAGTTGTTTTTTTTGAAAAGTTAAACAAAATTGATAAACCTTTAGCCAGACCAAGAAAAAAAGAGAGAAGACCCAAATAAATAAAATCAGAAATGAAAAAGGAGACATTATAACAAATACTGCGGAAATTGAAAGGATCATTAGTGGCTACTATGAGCAACTATATGCCAATAAATTGGAAAGTCTAGAAGAAATGGACAAATTCCTAGATACATTCAATCTATTAAGATTGAACCATGGGGCGAGATCCAAGATGGCTGACCACTAGCAGCTCGGGATTGTAGCTCCCAGTGAAAGCGCAAAGAACGAGAGGACGCCACACCTTCACATGAATTCTTGTTGCGCACGCACCAGGAGATTCCCAGCGGAGGAGCCCCACGGGTAGCCAGCGGGACTCTTGTGACCGGCGAGGCGGTTTTGCCGGCGCCTCGGAGCGTTGGTTCTTGGTGCAGAGTCAGAAAAGCACCATCAATCTTAACGCCGCTGATTTAGTTGGCACAGTGGGTTGCTCAGATTTCGGCGCTGAGAATCAATAAGTTGGACGTCCACTCAGAAACCCAATTACAAAGACGGTAATTATAAAGACCACATGGATAAATCTACAACGAAGGGAAGAAAACAGCCAAAAAAGGCTGAGAATACCCAAGATCAGAACGCCTCTCCCTCAGCAGGGATCACAGTTCCTCATCAGCAACAAAACAAGGCTTGATGGAGAATGAGTGTGTTCCAATTACAGAAGCAGGCTTCAAAATGTGGATAATAAGAAACTTCTGTGAATTAAAAGAACTTGTTCTAACACAATCCAGAGAAACTAAGAACTTTGAAAAAAGGTTTGATGAAATGTTAACAAGAATACACAATTTAGAGAGGAATATAAGTGAATTGATGAAGTTGAAAAACACAATACAAGAACTACGTGAAGTATGCACAAGTTTTAACAGCCGAATTGATCAAGCAGAAGAAAGGATATCAGAGGTCGAAGACCAACTCAATGAAATAAAACAAGAAGACAAGATTAGAGAAAAAAGGATAAAAAGGAATGAGCAAAGTCTCCAAGAAATATGGGACTATGTGAAAAGACCTCATCTACGCTTGATAGGTGTACCTGAATGTGACGAAGAGAATGAATCCAAGCTGGAAAATATGCTTCAGGATATTATTCAGGAAAATTTTCCCAACCTAGTAAGGCAAGATAATATTCAACTCCAGGTAATACAGAGAACACCACAAAGATATTCCTCAAGAAGAGCAACTCCAAGGCACATAATCGTCAGATTTACCCGGGTTGAAATGAAGGAGAAAATACTAAGGGCAGCCAAAGAGAAAGGTCAGGTTACCCACAAAGGGAAGCCTATCAGACTTACAGCAGATCTCTCAGCAGAAACCCTACAAGCCAGAAGAGAGTGGGGACCAATATTCAACATCCTTAAAGAAAAGAACTTTCAACCCAGAATTTCACATCCAGCCAAGCTAAGCTTCATAAGTGAAGGAAAAGTAAAGTTTTTTGTGAACAAGCAAGCACTCAGAGATTTCATCACCACCAGGCCTGCTTTACAAGAGCTTCTGAAAGAACCACTACACATAGAAAGGAATAAACAGTATCAGCCTTCCTAAAAAATACCAAAAAGAGCATCAATATAATGACCACATCATATCAACTTAGAAGTTTAAACGAAATGTTGGTTGGCTCCTTGTTTGTTATTCTCTTCCCTCATTTTATTTTATGTCTCCATTATTAAGGACAATTATAGGCATACCCATATTTAGACTGCATTCTATTCCGGGCAATAAAGCAATACCCCTATTCTCTCTCCCTCTTCCTCTTTCTCTTTCTTCCTCTTCTTTATTCTTTTTATTATTCTTTTTTCTTTCTCAAAAAAAAAAAAAAAAAAAGAATTACTTACTGGCTTTATGCATATTATGTAAGAAGCTTGGGCACGGTGGCTGATGCCTGTAATCCCAGAACTTTAGGAGGTCGAGGCAGATGGATCACCTGAAGTCAGGAGTTGGAGACCAGCCTGGCCAACGTCATGAAACCCTGTCTCCACTAAAAATACAAAAATTAGCTGGGTGGGGTGACACATACCTGTAATTCCAGTTACTGCTGAGGCTGAGGCAGGAGAATTGCTTGAATTCTGGAGGCAGAGGTTGCAGTGAGCTGAGATTGCACCACTGTACTCCAGCTTCGGTGACAGAGCAAGACTCTGTCTCAAAAAATAAAAAAATAAGAAAACCACAGATGTAAGGATTTGCAATTAGAAAGCCTGAAGGGAAATTTTTGGAACTTCTCGGTCAACCTAAATTTACAGATAGGGAAGCAGGTATGGAGAGCAACATTTGTACTTCTGAAGTAATACTGTAATTTGGACTTACAGGCTTTGTGATATATTGGCACCACCACAAAAAAAAAAAAAAAAAAAAAAAAGAACTCTTAGAATGTTTATAACTTTAAATTAAGCAATGCTTTCTTAGATATGACACCAAAAGCACAAAAAACAACAACAAAAATACAGAAACTGAGCACTATCTAAATTAAAACCTCTTGTGCTCCATAGGACATTATTCTTTATTTTTTGTTTTGTTTTGTTTTGTTTTTCTTTCCAAACACCAAGACTTCAAGGAGATACAAAAAAAAAAAAAAAAAAAAAAAAAAAAAAAAGATTGAACCATGAAGAAATAAAAAACCTGAAGAGACCAATAACAAGTAATGAGACTGAAGCCATAATAAAGTCTCCCAGCAAAAAAAAGTCCAGGACCTGATGGCTTTACTGCTCAATTCTACCAAACATTTACCAATCCTATTGAAACTATTCCAAAAAATAGAGGAGGGAAGACTTTCAAACTCATCCTGTGAGGCTAGTATTACCCTGATACCAAAACCAGACAAAGACCTATCAGAAAAAGAAAACTACAGGCCGATATCTCTGATGAATATTGATGCAAAAGTCCTTAACAAAATACTAGCACACCAAGTTCAACAATACATTAAAAAGATTGTTCATCATCACCAACTGTGATTTATCCCTGGGATGTAAGGATGGTTCCACATACACAAATCAGTCAATGTGATACTAAGAAAATGTGTAATCTTCTTAAGTTACTGTAAACTCTCTTGACTAGAAAAGTTGTGAGAAACCATAATGTCTTTATGGAAGTCTACTTAAACATAGTTTTCTGGAAGCACTTACAGAAGAATAAGCATCTTTTTAGTTTAACTGCTCTTATTATGCCCAGATATAATAGGATTGACTTCAGCAGATGATGATCTAACCTAATTATTCTATGAAATTCTAAGGCAATCTCTCTGAAAATTTGGCAACTATAGCCAGCAGGCCAAATCCAGCCTACTGCTTGTTTTCATAAATAAAATATTACTGGAACACAGCCATGTCTATTCATTTATGTATTACTTATGGCTGTTTTTTAAAAATTATCATTTTTTAAAATTTTTTATTTTTTTGAGAGGGAGTCTTGCTCTGTTGCTAGCCTGGAGTACAGTGGTGAGATCTCAGCTCACTGCCACCTCCACCTCCTGGGTTAAAGCAACTCTCTGCCTCAGCCTCCAGAGTAGCTGGGATTACAGGTTCCCACCACCATGCCCAGCTAAATTTTGCATTTTCAGTGAAGATGGGGTTTCACTGTCTTGGCCAGGCTGATCTTGAACTCCTGACCTTGTGATCCACCCACCTCGGCCTCCCAAAATGCTGGGATTACGGGCGTGAGCGACCATGCCCAGCCTACCTATGGCTGTTTTAACTACAACAGCAGAGTTGAAAAGTTGCAATGGGGACCAGTGGCCTACAAAGCCTAAAATATTTACTATCTGGCATTTTACACAGATTGCAGACCCCTGCTATAGACAAGCAATCCAAAAGGCAATAAAACCTGTCAGACCCACCTGAGGTGTTGTCTTTCTGTACTGGTCACCTCCATCTATCACATCCCTCATGATTCTTCCTTTAAGAAATTCATAATCTTCTGGACTCAGCTGAATAGACTCTATGGTTTTTCCACAGCCCGAACACTGACCACTGTAATTATAATTGTTAAATAATAATATTTAAATGTCAAATAATGTTCTGGGGAAAAAATTGTAAAATGAACAATGAGGAAATTAAAAGGTAATTAAAAAGAACATTAAAACCCTTGTGATAATTACATACATCTAATTTTTTGTAAACCTGATAATATCACAAATTAGTGTGCTAGAAAACCCAAAAAAGTAGACTGGTCATTTAGATGACTTTTACTATTATTATTTTTTCGAGAAAGGGTCTCACTCTGTTGCCTAGACTGGAATGCAGTGTTACAATTATGGCTCACTGCAGCCTCAACCTCCTAGGATCAAGTGATCCTCCTGCCCAACTACCAGAGCAGCTAGGACAACAGGTGTGTGCCACCTCGCCCAGCTAATTTTTTTATTTTGGTGACTAATTTCTGTATTTTTTCTAGAGACAAGGTTTCCCAATGTGGTGCAGGCTGGTCTCGGACTCCTGAGCTTGAGAATCTGCCCACGTTGACCTCCGAAAGTGCTGGGATTACAGGCAAGAGCCACTGCACCTGACTTGGATGACACTTTTAAAATAATTCCTATTCTGTGGAATATCATATTGATGAAATAAATAATAAATAAATAAATAAATAAATAGGAAGTAATTCCTAAAACACAACTGGGTCCGGAACCTCTAGGGGAAAACACCTCTAAGGTTTCACATAGGCTTATAGTACTCATAGGAAAACATTTTGGGCACTGATAAGTGCTAAGTCTCTGCAGGCAAAGTTTTTTTTTTTTTTCCTCAGTTACTCTAATTATATACTTGTAATTATCCTATCCTTAAGGAACTTAAATATTTTTGAATCAATAGCAACAAAACCTACTAAACCTAAATGAAGCAAGTTAAAAATAAATATTGGTCTTCACCTTTTTTGGATTGTGGTGAATTGTCCTTTCCATTGTTTTCCAGGAACACTATGAAAAGATTGCAAAACCAAATCATCAGAAAGTTAGATTCCTGCTGAAATGAAAGATAATCATGATATTTATAAACTCTAATAAGCAAGAACTCTGAAAAGTTCGAGATACTTCCGTAGAATAGTTTAATTAGAAAAGTGGCTGCTATCCTGGATGGCATTAGGCAGCTGCTGGTACCTTGTCCTGGATCTCCTCTTTTCCTTTGCTTCTCTTCCCACCAACTGACTCTTATCTTCAAGTCTACAGAAAGCAGCTGACCTTAGTAGCATAACCTCTAAACCAAACTCAATTCTTACCTTCTCTATAAAGCTGCCAGAAATTGCTCCTGCTCAGAATAATTTACGTCTTAAACTCCCCTGTTATTTCACTGCATGGTATCATATTCCCAATTAAACTGAGAATATCATAAGAGATTTATGAAACACTCGCATACCTAACCCAGGTGTCCCCAAACTTTTTACACGGGGGGCCAGTTCACTGTCCCTCAGACCGTTGGAGGGCCGCCACATACTGTGCTCCTCTCACTGACCACCAATGAAAGAGGTGCCCCTTCCTGAAGTGCAGCGGGGGGCCGGATAAATGGCCTCAGGGGGCCACATGTGGCCCGCGGGCCGTAGTTTGGGGACGCCTGACCTAACCTATTTGGAAACATTCAAAAACTATTTATTGATTTATTTGTTCAATCAACATATCCTTTCCTCTTTCCTCTTAAACATATGACCATGTGATATGTGTTCCTATGATTCTACCGCCTTCTCTCCTTCCTCCGTTCTTAATTCTCATCATCTCTCACCTAAACCTAAAATTTTATTCACACAGCTCTCCCTGTTTTCAGTCTTAATCCCTCTCCTATCTACTCTTCTCACCGTTTTGGCAATTGCCTTTGTAAAACTCCATCCAGCAATTTTTTTTTCTTTTGAGACAGGGTCTTGCTCTGTTGGCCAGGTTGGAACGCATGGCACAATCACAGCTCCCTGCAGCCTTGACCTCCTGGATTCAGGTGATCCTCTTGCTTCAGTCTCCCAGGTAGCTGGAACTACAGGCACACACCACCATGCCAGGCTAATTTTTGTATTTTTTGTAGAGATGGGGTTTTGCCATGTTGCCTAGACTGGTCTTGAACTCCTGGCCTCAAGCTATTCTCTCACCTCAGTCTCCCAAAGTGCTCACATTAAAAGCATGAGCCATAGAACCTGGCCAAATCCAGCATTCTTGGTAAGAGAATAAAATCCAAACTCCTTGGTATTCAAAGATTTTCACAACTAGGTTCTCCCTCCGTTGATATTCAACAAGTTTAAGATAATTAAGCATAATTACAACTTCAAAGCTCTGTAAACATGATATAGAAAAAAAGGCAAGAGAAAAACAGAGGGAAGGAATGAATTTTTAGGAAGCAAATTAATGAAGAAATAATGACTAGGCATGGTGGCTCACGCCAGATCGCTTGAGACCAGGAGTTTAAGACCAGCTTGGTCAACACAGTGAGACCTCCCACCTCTTAAAAAAAGAAAATTAATTTTTAAAAATAATAAAAATTTTAAAAAGAATTAATTTTTTAATTAATTTATTATTAATTTTTTAATTAATGGGCAAGGGAGGGGGAGGGGAGTCTAAAAAAAAATTTAAAGAGTAAAGTCTGAAGCAATAAACAGGTATGTAGCCAGTAACACGAATAAAGCAAAAGCAAAGCCAAGGAGAGAGCTTTAAAGAGAGAGCAGCCAAATGATAGAAAGATCCAAAACAAACTGGAAGGGTGAAGATTTTCCATTTTAATGCTTATGTATCATGCTTGATCAGTATTCCCCATCCATTCTAACCATCCAAGATGATGAACTATAGAGAGTATACAAAATAAATACAAGCACCATTATCTCAGTCACTAGATTTCACAGGAACTTCTGAAAATACTAATATGGCCCAAGACAGTTCCAGTCAAATACTATATCCTTTTCTTGCTATGATCACTGGCCGTAAGTAGTATTCATGAGTACTCACATCATATTAGATGCCTAAGAAAACAATTAATGATCCTTCTAAAAGGAAAAAGATACCTAAAAACTACAAGTTCTATATATTTCCATTTTTATCTTTATCATTTTATGGTAAAGATTAGCACAAATTGTTTATCCTGCTACTTTTTTTAAAGAGAGAAAATTTTTAGTATCACATGACACTGGTTAGAATATATTAAAACGGAAAAAAAAGAAAAATTTTTTTTTAAAGAGAAAATAAATCTTACTAAGAGATGGAGAAAAGTATAATCGGAATAGAATGATTCTCAGCAGCCAACAACAAAAAAGAGTGGCTAATTTTAGGTATAAACTTATTAAATTTAAAATAATTAGCCAGGTATGGTGCCACATGCCTGTAGTTTTAGCTACTCAGGAGACTGAAGCGAGAGGATCACTTGAGGCCAGAAGTTTGAGGTTACTGTGAGCTATGAACACATCACTGCACTTCAGCCTGGGCAACAGAGCAAGGCCCTGTCTCAAAAAAATTTAAATAATAATAGCATACATAAAAAAATCAAAATTACCTCTCAAACCATGTTTTTATACTGTGTGCAAATGATTCCCCTGGATACAGCTGATTATTTCTTAGATACAAAAGAATATCTAGTAGTTTATTTGAATAGTTATCATCCTTTATGTCTTTTCCAAAATCAAAAAAGGCTTTTAAAGTTTCCAACATAGGAATAATATTATGACCTAGCAACTCCTGATACAAATTCCAAGCTGTGTTTACATCTTGATGAAGAAGAGCTCCCTGGATACAGTCATCATAGTTCTTTCTTGAAGGAGTCATAACTTTTTTCAGGTCCTCTAACAGCAAAAATGCTTCTTTCCATCTGTCTGACTGGATCAATCCCCGGATGAGAAGAGTGTAACCTCCAGAGTCTAAAATCTTATATCTGGCTTTCATAATTTCATAGACATCAATAACTTCAGATGTCTGCTTATGAATGACACAGAGATGCAAATACTTGACCAGTAAATCATAGGCTACAATACCATTATTTTTTGCTGCTACCCATGCCAGCAGAGATTTGGCCACATCTACAGGGCTACGATCGTGAGCCATCTGTGAAATGATCCAACTTTCAAAACTCCTTCCTTTGAAATCTGCCTTAAGTTTATCCCACTCCTCTGAATTCAAAGGTTGTGTTGGGAGTTGAATAGTGTTCCTCACAGGTGGCAAGTCATGATCTTTACTTTGAGAATTCATCTGTGATCTCTTCTTAGCTGCTCCAGCTGAAAAAAAATGAAGAGAATCAGAAGGAACTTGATTATCATTGCCGTTATATTTCCTGAGATATCTGGAGTTGGCGAACCAGATTCGTTGCTTTGGTATTCTGTGAAGATATTGTTTTAAGAGAAAACCACCTCGGTTGTTTCCTGATGCCACAGCTGTCTGCCATAAAGAGACAGAGATACGAGTGCCTTGGGCCTAGCGGAAGGTATGAGTTGCTCTTCCAAAGCTTAGGAAAGCTTTGAATACGAAACAAACAGAAAGTCATTATGCAGTGAGATCAGCACCAGATAGCGAGAGAGATGTTGAAAAACCCCACGCTTCTATAGCAAAATTAAAGGGGTCGGGGGTCCGCGGCGGAGAGTTGAAGTGCAACTTCTTAAGAGATTTGTGTTTCTTCCTTACAGACAAATCAAGGTTCTGCTTTGGGGGCTACTTAATAGCAAGAAGGCAGGTGAGTTTTCTCTATTAAACAACAATCCGGGGATGTCCAACGTCGCAAGCCTCAAAGCAGGGGACAGAGCAGGAATCCTCTGGTGCTTTTTATATTCCAGTTCATGAACCTAAGGAAAAAGCACAAGAAGGAACGCCCAGTTTTACTCACGTGTGTCAGAGCTGTCCTGAAAAGTAACAGATTCCCACGGGAAGCTTGCTGGAAAGGGGGTGTAAAGCCAAAACCGTGTCCAGGAGCCCCCCAACTCCAGCTCACTAGCAACGGAAGCGAAAGCCAAAGTCTAGGGGCCCTCACCCTGCATAATTTTCCGCACACCGCAAAACTCGTCCGATGGGGGAATGGGAGGGAGGAGGTGGGGGGTCAGCCGTGCCAACGACTCAGGTAAGAAAGAGAGGTCCAGAAGGGCGCTGCCTTGACTGTATCCTGACCGCTGACAAAGTTCACTTCATTCAACAACTCAATGCGGCACTCAGGCTTAACACCGCCATAAACGCGGCGGAAACTACAGTGCCCACAATGCACCGTGTCAGCCCCAGCCGGCAGGCAAGACTGACAGGGACTTAAGCGTTCCGCCTGTCTCGGCGGCAAGGGAAAAAGGCAATTTTGAAACATTTAACAGCAAAAGGGGTAAGAGATGGCTGCTGAAACGTCTACTACATTCAGTGTACCTGGAGAGCCTCCAAATATCTGCAATGAACAATGAAAAGAAATCGTGGAAGAGAGCGCTTCCCTCAAGGTGGAACCAATTAATTCCTGGGTCACGAGGTGCGCACGCGCCAAAGGCCCAAGATAAAGGAAAAGGCGGGCTTATCCTGGCCTGTAAAATCTTTCTTGGTGAGCTTGGGACGCCTCCTGAAGGGGACCATTTTTCATCTCTTTCATAGCTTTTTTCCCCCGGTCAGCGCGATAGCAGTATTCTCCGCGGGAGGGACAGTATTCATTTTTGCCCCTTTTGCCAAGACTTCCGCCCTAGTTCAAGATGGCGGTTGGGCGGCCTTCCTAACCTTTACGGGGCCTGGCGGTGCTGACGCCTGAGGTGGTAGTGGGTGGAGCGGGTAGGAAACAGCAAATGCAGAACCTGCTGCGTGGGAGTCGGCCATGGACTGGAAAGAAGTTCTTCGCCGGCGCTTAGCGACGCCCAACACCCGTCCAAACAGTGAGTTTTGGGAGGGGCCGCCCGCTGGGATAGCCCGACCTTAAACTGCTAGAGGTGGGGGTAAAGTGGGGAGGAGGAGCCAGTGGGAGCGGCACTTTCCGCTTCTGTAAAACCTCCGGACAAAGGAGGAGTGGAATGTGTGGTTTAGGAATCCAGACAGGTTTGACCCAATCTTTCCTGGGACAGAACGTGGGGGAACGAAAAACAGCCTTAGTCACTGACTTCCGTGGTTTTGACCTAAACTTGAGAGGAATAACTTAGAATTCCAGCAACGCCTCAACCCCACCAGGGCATATGGTTGTCCTACCGCCTTTTTATTGTCACGCATTTTGCTTCCCTCCTAATCCATTTTATGTTTCATGATCCATTTTTCCTTTTCTTTTTCCTCTCCTTCACATTGCTTATTAACTAACCTTGTTAAGTCAGTCTTTCCTATTCCACACCCGAACTCAGGGCTGTTGAAAGTGGCTGGAGAAAAACAGAACCTTGGTGAGTTGTCTCGTTCGTTCGTTCATTCATTCATTCATTCATTCATAACGGAATCTTGCTCTGTGGCCCAGGTTGGAGTGCAGTGGCGCGATCTCGGCTCACTGCAACTTCCACCTTCCCGGGTTCAAGCGATTCTTCTCTCACAGACTCCCGAGTAGCTGGGACTACAGGCGCGCACCATCACACCGGGCTAATTTTTGTATTTTTAGTAGAGACGGGATTTCACCATACTGGCCAGGCTGGTCTTGAACTCCTGACCTCATGATCCACCCGCCTCAGCCTTCCAAAGTGCTGGGATTACAGGCCACCATGCCCGGCCGAGTTGTCTCACTTTTAATACATGTCCACTAATCTAAAGTAGGTGTTTTGGTCATGTTGGCTGTGTTTTCCTGGACATTCATTATCCTACATTCAATTTTCATCTCTCAAACTGCCAATCTGTGTTTCCTTAGATACACTTTTTGAGACAGGATCTCCCCCTGTTGCCCAGGCTGGAATGCAGCGGCACAGTGTTGTCTCGCTGTGACCTCGATTTCCTGAGCTGAAGGGATTCTCCCACAAGTCTCCTGAGCAGCTAGAGGAGTACAGGCACAAGCCATCACACCCACCTAATTTTTTATTTTTAAATTAGAGATGAGGTCTTGCTATGTTTCCTGGGCTGGTCTTGAATTCCTGGCCTCAGGCAGTCTTCCTACCTCCACTTCCCAAAGTGTCGCTATTACAGACGTGAGCCACAGTGCCAAAGCATCACTCTTTTGCACTCTATTCTTCTCATCTCCTACACCTGCAATCTGTCCTGCTCACTTCTAACTTTAAGCTGATGAACTTGTTTTTTAATATATATCTCATTAAAAAAAGAGAAGCAGTCAAAGGAGAACCTCACCTGTCCCCCTTAACATTTCTTTCAGCCCCACAACCCCACAGTTGCCCATACACTCTGGCTTCACTGTTAAATTGATGACCTGTCCATGCTCCTATTTAAGAGTCCCTCAACTCCAGCACTAGATTGTACTGTTTCCTGTATTCACTGACTTCCTTCCACCCTTATCCTTTCTCTTATACGTCATCAGATTTTCCTTCTACTGTGTCATTTTCACAAATGTGCTGTTAATATCACCCATCTTTTAAAAAGGTGGGTTGGTGGGGGTGGTGTTGGGAGGCGTGGTGGTTCATGCATGTAACCCCAGCGCTTTGGTAGGGCAAGGTAGGAAGATCACTTGAGGCCAGGAGTTTGAGACCAGCCTGGACAACATAGTGAAACACTGCTTCTACAAAAATAGAAAGTAAAAAAATTAGCCCCGGTGGTTGCGTCAACCTGTAGTCCTGGCTACTCGAGAGGCTGAGGCAGGGGAGTTTTAGTCCAGGAGTTCGGGGCTGCAGTGAGCTATGATCATGAAACTATACTGCAGTCTGGGTGACGAGAGCCAGACCCTGTCTCAAAAAAAAAGTCATTTGGGGTGGGCATGTGGCTCACGCTTGTAATTGCAGCACTTTGGGAGGCCGAGGTTGGCAGATCACTTGATGTCAGGAGTACAAGACCAGCCTGGCCAACATGGTGAAACCCCATCTCTACTAAAAATACAAAAAGTAGCTGGGCACAGTTGTGTGCACTTGTAATTCCAGCTGCTCGGGAGGCTGAGGTAGGAGGATCACTTGAACTTGGGCGGCAGAGTTTGCAGTGAGTGGAGATCACATTACTGCTTTCGCCAGCCTGGGTGACAGAGTGAGACTCCATCTCAGAAAACAAAGAAGGTACCTGCACTTGTGCTTTCTTGACCCCTTAACTCTTGAGCCTACTACATTCTTTTAGCAGATATTTATTACATGCCTGTTTGTGCCAAATATCATTGTAGCTTATAGCAGAATACACAAAAATCCCTGTCTTTGTAAAACTTACACTTTAGTGTGGAGAGAAATAATAAAATCATAAGTAAATTATATAAGTTGAACAGCACCTGTTTAAGTCTGGTTCCTTCATCAGTGTACTAGATCGCATCCTTCATACTAGATCCCATTTTTGCCTGCTGCAGGATATAACACTTAAACAGTTGTCCTTTCTCCTGCATCATCAGTTTTTCTTTAATCATTCCCATTAGCATATAAACATGCTGGTATTTCTCCCATCTTAAACTTTCTTGACTTAATTTCCACCTCTCACCATTCCCTATTTTTCCTTTCCCCTTATAGCAATATTTGTTAAAACAGTTGTTGGTTAAATCTGTACCTGTTTTGAATTCCTGCTTATCAAGAGCCATCATTGACCACCATATTGTTAACTTCAGTGGTCAGTTGTCAGTCTTGATTTTACTTGAAAAATTTTGTAAATTTCTCCGACAGCACTGAGTCACAGTAAAAGAAATTAAAGGTTTGGTCTAAGTTTAAAAATTAACATAACAGGCTGGGTGCAATGGCTAAGGTGGTGGATCACCTGAGGTCAGGAGTTCCACCAGCCTGACCAACATGGTGAAACCCTGTGTCTACTTAAAAAAATACCAAAAAAAAACAAAAAACAAAAAAAAAAAAACTTAGCCAGCTACTCTGGAGGCTGAGGCAGGGGAATCACTTGAACCCAGGAGGTGGAGGTTGCAGTGAGCTGAGATTGTGCCACTGCACTCCAGCCTGGGCAACAGAGTGAGACTCTGTCTCAAAAAAAAAAAAAAAAAAAAAAAAAGTAACATAACAGATGCAGCAGAAATGCAGTTGTAAAAGGAATTCAGTGAAACAATTACAGGCTTGTTGGGAAGGAAGTGAGACTGGAGAGAATAACATAACTTTTGAGAAAATAGATCACAGAATTCAGGAACTCAATGAGGCTGAAGTGGAAGTATATGGCAGTGAGGTTTTGAATTACCAGAAAGGATGATCTGAGAGTATATTTGAGCTTAAGATTTCAGAAAAGGAACAAACAAGATCTGTGGTCTTGCCATAGAATCAAATGGCAGAATGAACTAGAGGTGAAAGTCTTTAGAGTTGGAGGACCCATGGTCACCCACAGAAATGTTTATTTGTCCTAAATGATGGCAGGACCCTGTGAAGCACACTGCACCAGTCACCATAGTCCACAAATAAGTGAGGAATTGTCTGAACCAGACAGCCACATGCCAATAGCAGGCAAGTTGCAGGGTAATAGAGCCCTGTGTTTTGAGCTTCAGACAGAGGGTGATTTTGTTTTCTCTACATTAGGTAGAGAAACAGTGATTATGAGGCTGAAACTCCATGAGGTCATGGGCTGGGGCTGGTCTTGCTTACTCCTCATTCCGTGTCTACTACAGTGCTCTGTACATAGTAGATGCTCAGTAAATACTTTTCATTGAATGTATTAGGAACACCACAGATTTCTGTAGGAGAGGTAATGACTTGAGGAAGTACTAGCTTTAGCAATAAACAAGTAGAGGGAGCATGCTGAGAAATGGTTGAAGATATAGGGGAGGCTGCTTCAGTGGAAGGTAATGATTCTTGGTATTTCAGAAAAGTTAATATGCTCAGTGTCTAAGCACAATTGTGAAGGCCTTTTTGGCACTGCAACTATTTTGATTAAACTAGTAATATAATATATACGATGACCTGAGTAAAAGTACTGCTTGATTTTAAAAGTGCTTTTCTCCCTTAATCCGTTTTGTTACCAGAAAAAAAAAGTGAACAAGAATTAAAAGATGAAGAAATGGATTTATTTACGAAATATTACTCCGAATGGAAAGGAGGTAGAAAAAACACAAATGAATTCTATAAGACCATTCCCCGGTTTTATTATAGGGTAAGTGGTATCTAATCAAATGTCCTGCGGAGTTTATACATGAAATGTAATTTTTGGCAAGCCAAGGTGGTTCATACCTGTAATTCCAACAC